TTTTTTTTTTTTTTTTTTAAGTTATTTCTATAATGCAATGAAATGCTAGGTTGGTTTATGTTAAACAATTGCATTTGGGGGTACACTTAGGTGGCAAATATTTATGGCATTGCTTACTAACCGCATACAAATGTTTCTTATGTTTTATTATTCACAACAGCACTAACTGTAAAATTATACACGATCAGATGGCTTTCTTCAGGCTAACGTCATGTAAAGCCACGCCTGCACACTGGAGCCTTCGCTACCCACACCTGCTGCTTAAATAAGTTGACGCTAAGTGTTTCCAGAAGTGTCGACAAAGAGATAAAAGGCTAAGCGTAAATTAATCACGCGAGAGAACAGGCTGGCCTTCAAAGGTTGAGGTCCTTCAGGCACTCTGCTAGTTGAGCGTACAGTCCATCAATCAAGCACCACACCAAGCAAGCACCTTCAAAATGTTGAAATTGTTGCTGATCGTGATGCTGTCGCTGCATTTCGCAGAGAAGCGTTCTTCCGCCTACATCTGGGAACGTACCAAGAGGACAGGATTGGATCCCTGGGCGCGTAAGTGAAAGCAGCAAAGCTACAGAGGCTTTTCCACGTTTGTGTGCAGTACATGTAAAATATGTGAAGTGCTCCTCATTTCACGCTTTCAGCAAACGGTATGACAAAGCAAAAAACACGCGAAGGGGAAAAAACACTACTGACTTCATAAGGAATCGCTCTATCAACTAATGTAATTAGCGTTTGACTTCCTACGTCTATTATGAAAGTAAACACAGTTGTGTTGATACTCTAAACTCAGCTACTAGACTTTCCACCCGCACTTATATTTTGCCATCAACTGAATTTAATATCCTTCGCATAAGTTATGTAAGTCTCAGTAAACAATCTGCATTTGTTCTTAGATACACAAAGGCTAAGCTGAGGTGTCTAGATTGCCGAATGGAATCTTAAAAAATACCTTTAATTAAGCAAAGGTTTTACACAAACACAGTGTATCTTTAATAGAATTCTCTTCTCATTACAGGATACCAGCGGGTGCCGCCCGCGCACGAAACTGCCGACAAGCTAATGAAGTATTTCTTGGGCATTGATCAGAGAGTCATACGACAGATGAGAAGAAGAAATCGCAGGTCTGTAGAAGGGTCTATGCCAAGGCTATACGCACATTTTGATGCCATATTCGTTATTGACTCCTCCGCATCCATTCTGCCTAAAGATTTCCAACGGACACTGAAAGCCCTGCAACTTCTGACTGGAAAAGCTCAGAGAGAGAGGCGGTACGCGGCCGTTACTTTCTCCTACAACGCTACCGTCCGTTTTAATTTCACGTCAAGACGAGACACCGTTGGAAAGCTAGGAGAGATACCTTTCGAAGCTGGCATGACAAACACCCAGAAGGCGTTTGAAATATGCCGAAAAGAACTGATTTTAAATCGTGGAAGCGGCGCTCGACCCGGATACAGAAAGCGCGTCCTAATTGTAACTGACGGACAGTCTAACGTACAAAAACAAAAGACTTTATTTGAAGCGTTTAAGGTCAAGCTCACAGGTACACAAATCTTCGTTATTGCAGTAGGAAAGTACCTCAAGGGTATCTCTGAAATCGTTGGGCTCGCGAGCTCTACAGATGCCCATCTTTACCGAGTGGCTAATGTGAACGGACTTCTGCGTGTCGTCAGGCTAATTCCACCATGGCATATGATAGAGAACTACATTCGTCGCTCGTGGCTAAATGGAATGTTACGACCTCAGTTCTGACTCTGTGGATCAGCAGTGGGTCTCGCGCAGACTGCATTCAAGAAAAAAGACTACGAACTGCAACCGGCTAAAAAACAATTGCATTGCTTGTTGTACTAAGTTAAATACGCTGTGTACATGATAAATTAAAGAGTTGCCTAGGGTATAGGCTTAACTATTGGCTATCGAACTTACTAGTCATAGACACGTAAGTCATTGAAACCAGATCAGGGACGTCAGCACAACTTGGAATTATCAAGAACGAACTTGCAACAAATATTGGTGGCAAATGCACCCACGGTGTAGATATGAAAAGTTACAAAATAATGTTTCGAAAGGGCAAGTATAAATTTACTTATATTGATAAAACGTCAGGAGCATGTTTTATCTTGGATTTTCTGTGAATGACTTTTGAAACGATCAAAGTTACGTTTAAGTATAGGTAGTTTATAGATTTCAAGAGACAACAAATTATTCGGCGCACTATGTTTTGCATGGTAGCTAATATGCGGTTGAAATGGTCGCAAGGCCATTTAAGCGTACAATGAAACCCTCAGGCGGTTAAAGGCTAGAATATGCATTTTTCATTACAAAGCTTGATTTGTGCAAGTGTACCTGCTGGAAACGTAAATTAAAGGTCCATTCATGAAGGAACGAGAGAAAAGCCTGATGAATCTTGTCTGCGACAACAACAACAACAACAACAACCATTTATTTGTACTCACAATTTATAAAATAATTACAATAAACATTAAATTAGTGTAGAGTACTGCCTGCCCAAAGTAACCATAAGGGCTAAAAAGAATGGGCTTGCACTTTGAGAAAATACAATGGTAATAAGAAGTAACAAGTTCCAATTTGTTACTGAGTTAGCAGTAAAATGAAAACTGTTTGCCGCGGAAAGAACGAAATGCGAGCCTGTAGCTCGCCTGTAAATGCCACTCACTTAACAAAGGACCATAAGTACGTCTTGAAAAAAAAAACCAGGAGGTAAATACAAAAAAATATGTTTCGTGTCTCAAATGAAGCTAATTAGAAAAACGTAAATACTGTATTCAAGGTCAAGAATTATCATTTGCACTCACTGCTGTACCGCTTAATAGTCAGCTAAAACTCATGACAGGGGAAATCAAAACAGTAAGGACTATTTGCGCAAATTTCATTATAAAGTTCTGTGAAAACAACTGTTCACTCTCGTGGCTCGCATAGTTCAGCTTTCATTGATATCAGGTTTGTGAAGAAACTGGATCGGCTTATAACGATTACCGGATAAATTTATCTGTTACAGACGAATCTCGCAGTGTTTTCAGCTCAAATTCGCCGAGTTAATCACTCTTGAATGTGTTATTGTTTTAAAAAATCGATTCAGCGAAACTGGGCTTTGTTTCGTGATACTATCAAACCGGTACCGAGCAGTCCACTTCTTCCCCAAGAGATGATTTAGGACTGAATCACCTAACGCTTAAAGTGTATAATCTCAGTTCATGAAAGATATGCGAAACTGCGCCACATGCAGTGAAATTCGCTCATTTATGTACTGTGAGCAAGAAAGTTGGCTAGAGATGTTCGAAGTTTGTTTTTAGCATGATTTGGCTCTGGGTGGAGCTAAGGAGAACCGGCTAAAAATATAATATGAGAACAAGGAATTTTTCGCGAAAAATGATACCACTAGAAACGCAGTAACCTCTTGAATTATCCGCAAACAAAGAAAATGCCAGATTCAGTAAAACTTACAAAGCAGTAATTTGTTTCCAAAGGGTTAAACTACACAATTAGCATTTTCTACTTATTATGAATTCAGCTTCTATCGCTTTGTATTTGGATTAACCGAGGATGACAGAAGTTTCTGTCGAAACATGTTTTATAAACTCAAACGTTTTGTTGTTTTCTTAAAATTCCTGTAATTTGTTTCCGGAAATTAAAATTTGAAGTTTTCTGAAGGTCATTTTAGTAGTTCAACAGTGGTGGCTCGTTAAAAGTTTATAGACACAACAAAGATACATGACTTTTAAAAATCGATTTCCTTCAGAGGCATAACTATAACTACCAATTCAATATCTATCAGTAATCACTGAGTGATTTGAAGTGTTTCGTCAACAAACACACCTATTCTGGTAGTTAAATTTACCTTTCAATGATTTTTGACATGATAATAATGTACTACATGGTATGGACGACTGCAAGCGACACGATAAGAATGTGAACACTAAAACCAACCAGGTGAAATGATCTGAAATGCTTGGTGGAATTTCTACACAACACCGCACTCGGTTAGGATAGGATTGGATGGAATTCATGTTTGGGTATATGATGTGGTTCTGTAAGACCTGTAATCATTTCCGGCCCTTAGACCGATGGAAACCGAAGTTGAATACATCTCTCGAGTGCACAACAGTGACTTCTAAGTATGTGCAAAGTGACAAATAACATAAGAACATTCAACGCAATTAGCGTCCTCGTTTATACAGCTTCACCGTGTTCTTTGTTAGCCAAATACCTCTTTCATGAAAAAAGACGATGATAGAACGGGATATATTTCTAAAACTGTATTCTTAGAATAATATATTTAATTCATTGTTAAAAAAACACAATAATATGAAATTCGTTAAGAATTGAAAAGGAAAGACCGCACAGTCCCGTTTCATTACAGTCAACACACATTCCTTTTTCGCTGATAGAGACTTCTGGTTTATATTACACCATCACTTTGGTTGATCATTGTTTGTAAGTAAAATCACCTTTTTCACACCTTTTTCACACGCGTCGCAAAAATGAGCCCTCTTTAAAAACCAGTTTAACTTAGAATTAAATTGTTGATTGATTAGTAGAAGGCTGCCGAAAACCACACCTAATTAGGCTCTCATTTTACTACTTTCAAATCATCTAGCGTGGCTATTTGCCAGCGATATTTAACAACAGGAATGTTAATGTGACCTCTGAAACCAGAATGAAAATGATTGATAAAGCAACAACATTCACTTTTTTTTTATGTAACGTCTATTCTGGGGGCCGAGATTGTAAGTTCTTAATTTTTGAGGTATGAATGTTTTCCCTTTTGAAAACAACTAAGGTGGTATGAAAGTAGAACTAAATCGCTTCCGAAAAGCATTTACATTGTACATGAACAGGTCCACGTGCACTTTAAGGTGATAATGACAATGTTCGTTCCACGTTAGATGCGAACAAAGATTGATTGTCTGTATATGAACTCGACCTTTTTTGTAGCAAATGAAAAAAACACCGTCGCAATGACCCATGCTATAGCCATGGTGACGTTCTGAACATGGTCTTAGGTTTATAGCCTCCCTTAGTGTCGACGCTCATATATAAACTAAGAGTGTACTACACAACATATTAGATACTTCTGCTCCGTACAACAGATGCTAAATAAGAAAACCTACTAGAAAATGAATTCATATATTGGTTAAAGGAAGTTTCAAAGTCTATAAACAGCCCCACAACTTGTAGTTAGTTATTTTAATCGCAGTGAACGATTTGATGGCATTCATCGCTGGTGACTGAATGCGGTTTTCCGAGAAACTAGAACTATTTCCGGCGCTGAGTTAATGACAACAAAATTCAACGCATATCAGTCCTACGTATAAAACAACAAGTTCTGAGTAAGTGCGAAGTGAATTTGTACATGTGCACTTTCTTTGAAATGTTTTAGTAGACGTTTCACTAAAGGGTTTGAGAACTCTGCTAACCCGAATTTCTCTCAGCTATGGCTTCTAGTCCTTCATAAAGTTGCACGCCACGATTACGATTTGGAAGGGTTGACGGAAAAGCAGATGCCTATCTTGGACGACCCAAAAGGACTTAAACTTAAGACTTTATTTTCATTCTGGCACAAGACCAAAGAATTTCAGTGCAGCAATCTCTCTCTTTCCCTCATTCCATGCTCGGTATAGCATACGGCTGCATGGGGTTTGACGTTGAAAGGAGTGCTTAACACGAATAAGCATTGTAAACGATTACTGAGCTAGGTGTGGAGGGATTTGAGTATCTTTTGTAGAGAAACAATCTATGTTGGATAAGTTAATTAATTGCAGATTCTTTTTTTTTTTGTCTTCCTATAAAAGTATGCCGTTACTGATCCTGAGATATATCGTGGGGTGGCAGAATTCAACAGGAAAATAGATATATGCAGGTTCAAGAGTTATCAGTTGTTAATCCAATAATAACTCCAAATTGGTTACATCTGAACAAGACTCGAACGAAGATTAATTACCACGAGTAATATCTGATAAGGCTGAAGCCGGTTGAATTTATCAAAGGAAATTCAACACAAGAGAGATCTCTTTCGGGGTCAACTTAGCGGCATACTGCTTATTACGTTTCTTTATTTAGCACACACTCTCTGAATTGCCCCGGCCAGGGAACGGCATATTAGATTGACTGATACCGTGATGGCATTCAACTAGAATAAGTTCTTCATACTTAGCTAAGTGCTTATGTTAAGTGATGATTTGGAGTTAAATCAGTTTCTGTTCTCGAACATATCATCAATCAACAAAGGCGTGCTATATAGGCGCGTTCTGTAGCTAAGGGACTAACAACAACAAATTCATATTTTGGCCGCGAAATTGCTTCCACATGCACGCTTAGGTTTGTTTCGTTGTGTTGCTAATCTTGGCCTAAAAGACCTCAGACGAAATTAAATTAAGGAAATTAGTTAAAGACCACAAGTCTATTTGCCTTAAGACATTTTCGTGAAATTTATGGCCTCAACTATGTGTCAAAATGATAACGAAGCGTTTAAACGAACACGCAAATTTCAAGTGACGCCACATTCCAGTTTACAAGGCGTCGAGAAATTTTCCTTCAAACTCTAAATTCCAGTTTTCACAGCAAAACACTGTAGTGATACATCTGAAAGTTTCGTTAAAGAAGGTCCTAGGTGACAAAAACCCGAGAAGTGCCTTTTCTGATAAAGTACGTTTGCATGAGCCTAAATAGTATCCATTCATTGTCTATTCAGTACGAGCAAAAAGCCCCGAAAAGTCTTAGTATTTCCGACGTTAAGCTAATAAAAACAAATACATCTCTCAACTGCACAACAATTTCAAGTATGTGTCTAAACACAATGCTTAAAATATTCAAGGCCTTCACACGAAAGCATCCCTAAACTCTGTGATAATTATGATACATATTTCTCTTGGAGGAAATAAAAATGTGCTCCTCTTGCTAAGAAGAGAAGAACGCCGTTTGACAGTTTTAGTGTGAAACGTCGAACTATTTGTAAAATGCACATATTTAGCAAGTGTTTTATTTGGCCAGTGCAGTTAAATCAGAATCGTGTAGGACACAATGTAGCTGGCGCTACTACGGCAAAGAATGAGTGATTCAACTGTTCAGCTTTATCAGTCACTGAATTAATACTACAATGTAGCATTCACGTTGTGGTAAAAATAAAGCACATGATAGATCAATGTACTAGTACATGTCGGATGTTCATCCCTTGATTGTTGCTCAACTGAGGAAAATACTATTATTGACTGATTGCCCCCCTCCCCNCCCCCAACCTTTCTCACCCAATTTTTGGTAATTTTTACCAATTGTAGTTTTGTACTGGGGATCAGGTTTTGCAGAGCTTAACACGTCGGCCTGCGAGTCAGCTGGTCCGCATCTAGGGGGACCTGGAGTATATGTTCCCCATAAAAAAAGTCCGAAAAGGTTTTTTCTTCGCTTTCTGGTGATTTAACAATACCTTAAACCTAATTTTAATATGAATTCGTGCTATCAACTGAAAAAAATCGTCATAAAAAGTCACAACAAAGATTTCTTCCTATATTGTGTTATTCTTTGTTTAAAAGACGTTCAATCGTCAATATAACAACACAACTGCAACCATTCCAGCAAGCTAAATTTGCATCATCTTTAAATGGCGGAATTTAAAACGGATACGAAGATACAAACTGCCTTGACACAGTTCAAGTTGCTAAATAAGCTTAAAGAACTTAGTTACAACTAAAGAATTTTAAAAGACTAAAGTAAAGAAAAAAGTCTTTTCCTACCTCTTTCCAATGCTTTGAAGATTTAGCGATCAGGAGAGACCCAAACATGTTCCCAACTTGCTCGGCACTCATCACGTTGTTTTTGACAACATTTACAAGATGAGAAAAGAGTGCCTTCCACAGTTTAATCAGCGAAGATTCCACGAAGGATCTGGTAAGTCAAAGAAAGATAACATTTAATAGTAAACACGGAGCGATCCTATATAACGAGGCTGAGGTGTTCAGCCTGCCAATCACAAATCCCAACGGACGATCAATACTCCTATTTGATTCGCTTATTTACTCAGGTCTAGTTTTAGCGCGTTGCCACAAAATTCTGGAAAGCGACGGGTGTAATTTTCTGTTTTCATTTTACAAGTAAGCTATGCCTTTTGACTAAATGAACGATAGCCTCAAGAGAAGAGTTTAAAAAGAAAATAGACTTTTTAATTTCAACTTCATAATTATGTTCCTTCACTTGCGAAAGCCTATCGTATAATTTCGAGTTGTTCACTCAAATTTATAAAATGCCGCATCTAGTTCTTTTGATGCCAGAGTGTCTCTGCTCCTTCGAGGATAACGCGGTTGAGAAAAAAGTTTGGAAACATAAAAAAAAAAAAACACCAGATACAAGCAGACTGCGAAGGTGATATATTATAGTCTACAGTAATATGGTTATTCTTCAGCCAGTTATCTATAAGGTCTAAAAGAGATTCGAATCCATAAAAGGTGAAGATTGGCTGCTATTGTACTCTCGGTCTTTTACGAACGCAATGATAGTTTTTATTGTATTCAGCCATGTCTTCCTTCTCTTTCTAACGTCAATATTCAGCCGAAATCTCACTTTGCCATTTTTCAAGTTCTTTTGTTTCGTAGTAATACTTTTTGTTTCCAATTTCTTTGCTCTGGGTATGGAACAGTTTGAGGAATAACTCGGCGTTGACAGGTTCAATTTGTATTTTGTTTGCATATTCAACCAAAATCTGTCTGTGTTCACAGGGTAACCAAAATCACCTCTTACGAGATTTGTTTTCGTTCTCGGCATGCTGAGATAAATGGAAACAGATAGCTCGTTGATCGCAGGCATCAGCTTTGTTATTTTAGTTAGCGGCGAAATTTGAATGTTCCGTGAAGTGACGAAGATAATTCATCATTTTTGTACTTCCAAAGGCGGCTTCTAAAGTGTTAATAAAGTTTTATTTTCACTGTATTTTTACTATTTACCTTATATTATTCTACGTAAATGACTCCGTTGTTTTAACGAAAACACGACTTCTATGTTATGCGACAGTTATTTCGGCTTTCCACAGCCAACAGAGAGCTTCAAAGGTGGCGTGTCCTTGCTCCGTGTTTAAGCTTATACGTGGCAGAGACCGGAAAAAAAAAACACAATTAAGGTGGTCTTATACCTAGAATTTTTTTTTTTTGCAAAACAACTCTGTGGAACCGTTTTGGTATCACGTTAAAGGACTTTGCACTCAAAAATGAGCTTTTCCAGCTCACGTGCCACGATGGTTAATGAATAACTAGCTCCTTAGTGTTAAAAAGTGGTGTTCATTATAAACACGATAACGTAATAATGAATGGTTCGAGAAGTATGGAATTAAGTTCAT